CAGCAAGTAGGCCATTAGTCAGCAGCAAGCATGGGCTAAAAGCAAGTTTTCACTGGGGTTTTATGCTAATGCATTTTATCATTCTATTTCTATTACATATTGTTTTATTCAGTAACTACATTCAGCTACCATGATGAGCACACAAACACGCAGAAATGTAAGTAGCTCAGTAGCACGATGTCAAGAATGCGTGTGTTTATGATTTCAATGGTATTCTTACTCTGCCGTCACATCAAAAAGTTGTAGTACTATGCTAGGGCGCAGTAAAATGATCGCAGCAGCCAGGCTGGGGCCAGCATTCACTGTGTCAAATTTAGGAGCCCTTTGGAAAGCCTGGACACTGGCCCAGCCTGCTAGCCCACCCTGAGCTCTGCATTGCTGTTTGAGTACTGCTCTACTCTACTAACCCTACTCTACCAGCTGGGTTAAGGCTAACTAGCAATACGCCTTCTCAAGACAGCACAGCCATAGCTGCAGGCTTGTCCTTGCAAGCTGGACAAGCTGTTTTTGGATTCCACAAAGTGGATGTTAATATACATGCAGTAACAAAATGCTGTATTGAATCTGCACCTGTCTTCAGTGAAGAGACAGCCAGCGATGGCTTCCATGTGTTGTTCCTAAAATGCTGTGCTGCTCAAAGCATTTTTCAAGGTACCACATCAAGGAGTCTGGGGAAGAAAAGGAGAGAGCATGCACACAGAAGAGTGACATTAGGTGGGGAGGAGGAGAAGTCAGCTATCACATAACAGAGAGCTGGGTTTTGTCCGTGGAAGCAACTGGTTTCTCCTTTTTCCTCCTTGTTTTATCACCATCACCCTCCTCACTACACTACAGGGTCTGAAAGCACGCACAGCATGTTAGCAGTATAACAAACAAATGGCAGGGAAGGCAGCAGGAGTATCTTTTAGGCTTTGAAGTATATAGTATCAGACAGCTGACACATACTAACTCAGGTTCAGGAAAGCACAACCGTCAAGCTAAATAAGTTGATTCCTTACCTTGAGTGCACGCAGACCTAACAACTACACAGTCTGCTGAAAAAGCAGGCACACTGTTTTACCTACAACATGGTGCAAACAGACTGCAACTGGCTGCCCTGCAATCCTGGCAGCAGAACCACCAGACGCTGAAATCTCCGTGCTTCAGGGAAGACAACACTGAGCTAAGCAGAAGCAAAAAGCTCGATAAACACAGCCCTGTCAAAAAAGAAACACACACGCCAATAAGATAATTAGTGGGTGATGTGTGCCATGGGGTTTGCGGTCCTGTCCTTCCTCCACACCCCCGCTTTCCCGAGATGTCCACCCGTTTGTCTGCAACACGGCAAAATGCGTACAACTGATGCCACCATCAGGAAAAACTGATACAGCCTTCACATGACGGCTCTTGTAGGGCAACGTGCTCCCAACTAAAGGCGTGCAGGACTGGCGCGTTGCTGCTGCTGCCAGACCAGGCATTTCCAGTGAAACACTTCGTATTTCCAATGCCTCAAGCCAGTGGCATCACTGGGTCTAATGTGCTAAACATCTGACTTGACGCACCACAGAGGAAACCGTAGAACTGTAAGGAAAGAAAAGATATGTCAAAAGACAAAGGGGATGAAAGGGAAGACTGAACCAAGATGCTAAACATTCATATCTGCAATGCTGTCAAATATGACACATGAAACATTATTAAGAAAAAACTTACTGAATTTTAAGGCATTAAAATGTGCCACCTTCATAATTTTGCAGATATGAAAAAACTATTTTAAAAAGCAGTCAGGTATTCCTTTGGGCAGCCGTATCAATTGAATGAAGTGATTTGATACAGCAGCCTCTATTCTTCAAATATCCCGAGGACCCACATAATCTGAGCGATTAGGATCCAAGGAAGCACTGATTGCTAGCAAGACATTTTGTGTAAGCATCAATGCTGAGCCGTGCACAAGTGCAAATTTACTAGAAAGAGGGTATTCTAGAAATGTGCTACTGAATAATCTCTCCTGGCAAACTTGTACAAACATGCTCTTTGTTATGGTAGAAGTCAAAGAGAATTGAGCTTTGTGTTCCTTCACCTTCTCCAGTGATCCTTACATTAAAATCCATACGGGTTGAAAGGTGCAGCTGTACAAACACTGGTGAAGGCAGAAGGGCTGATAGCAGCTGCCCAGCACTCTTCTTCCTTTGCTGATTTGGGGCTTTAATATACCTGTTTCTTCATTTAATGGCCATTAAAGTGGCCTGAAAAGATTGGTCTGGATTGAAACCCTCTAATGCCGTTAGGTCACTCCATACTGCAATGCCCTGTGTCTGGCAGTTGACAGTTGTGCAGCTCTGGGTCACAGGAAATCAACTTCAATGCTACAGGAATACTTAGGAGAAAATAAGAGCGTGTGTAAGCAGTAAGGCAATATATGGCAAAATGTGGCATTTCTTACAACTCGGAGGACCTCTGAGCCGCAGAAAGGATCGCACACCACAAAAACCAGTTCAATTTAAGATCTTCACAGAACAGCGTGACACACCAATGTATTTAAAAATTGAGTCTGATCCCATGGCTTTCAAAGATAAAGCCTGTTAGCTAGAAACTTATCCTATTTGCCAAAGAACATGAGAATAAGTAAAGATATTAAAAAAAAAAATCTGTTTTCACTTATTTAATGCAAAATGAATTCTGAAGACAAAAAAAACCCCAAACGAACGAAATGAAATCTTGACTCAAACTTCAGAAGACATAGAAAACAAAACAAAAAGAACAAAACTTCAGGAAAAATACTGTTTTCCCTTTTGTTGTCTACTCAGTACTTTGGCTATTCACTTTTTGATCTTCTGTCCTCTAACTTGTCCCTCTCAAGACAAGACAGTTTTCAGCTTTCCTATCTCAGCAGTCTATTTCCCCATTGTCTTACCATTTAAACTCTGCTTTACTCAACATAAACAACAAGGGATTCTCAGTGGAAAAGACTTGCACAAGCCCCTGGACTAATTGCCTGTTCACCTCCACCAATGCTCAGTCATCTCCTGACACATCTGAGCTTCCTGTCCTGCGAGGGACAGATTCTGCAGAAGTCTAGGAATAAGCAGGTAGGATAGGGAAGACCAAAACCTTCCCTTGCTGGCCACCTTCTTGAAGGCCTACAAAGACATCTCGTGGAGGGAAAAAACCCAAGAACATGAGGGAAGTGGAAAGCAGAGGCCATTTACACTCAGAAAGTTACTGTACCTGGGCTAGCTACAGGGCAGCCGAGGGAGCTGTTTCATCAGTCCCTGAGAGACTTTGGCAACAGTGCTGCAGTACAAGCTTCAATCCAGGGGCAGGAGGAGCCCCCAGGGGAAGGAAGAAGGGACTTTTTCACATCAAGCACCATAGAGTCCACTACTGAACCTGCCAGGACAAAAGAGCCTTCTAGCTCTCCATCTGCTTCCACAGAGCTGTTCAGCAGTCACTGCCTCAAAATCCTGTCACCTTCCTGCACCAGAAAAGTCCTTGGTGGTCTCCAACAGGAGGGAGATCCTTCTGGATCACTGACATTTTCCATAGAGCACCTGGGATTTTGTTGCTGTAGGGGACACCTGAGGGGACTCAAGCCCTCAGTGTCAGGTACTGCCCTGACTCTCCTGAACTCTGTGGAGTCAGTTCCCTACCAAGTGTTTGCAGTCGCTACGAAAAAGGATTTCTTGGCTTCTACTGCAAGAAGGAAACCTTCAGTTGGTACAGCAGCAACCCTGTTGGGGAAGAGGACTTTAGGCTCCTGTAGAAACACAATCCACAGAAGTGTTCCTGTTGCAAATACAGACATGACACTGAGCTGAACTTTTCAAGAAAAGTAGCTTTGCGACTTTGCCACAGTCCTCGCTGACCTAGGCAAGGAGGATAGGAAAGATAGGAAATTGGTTGTAGCCTTGTCCAGAATGAAGCAGACTGGAAGCACGGCTGTAGGGACGCTGGGCCCAACATGCCAAGCAGGAGCGCTCTCACTTAGGCACAGGCCCAGCAGGGCTGGAGCGGCTGCTGCTGTTGAGCGCTGGGGAGCTGCAGGAGGCCACTGATGGCAGCTGGCTGGTGGTGCTGGGGAGCTGTGGGATGGCCTCAGCGCTGGAGTTGCTGCTCTCAGGACCCCATGCTGGTGCACGACTGCTCTCTGGGCTGGCTGTAAGGGTTTTGGGCCCTTACATTGCAAGTGGGAGCAGTTTTGGAAGTGCTGGAAAGGGGCATATGTGAGCAAATAGAGCAGAGCCGCCCCTTTCCCAGTCAGCTCTCACCCTGTGCCTTTACAGGCAATTTTTGGGACTTCCCAGCTAGAGGAGCCTTAGGCTGGGGTCTCTCCTCTAGGCAGACCCTAGGTTGGTGGCCACACACTGGCATAGGCCACAGCACCCCAGGACACTCCCCCAGGGTAAAGAGTAAACTGCCTCTGAGACTATTTTTGGGTAAAATATTCAATCTACAACAAATGTACCACACTAGCAACCTTTGTCCTTAATATTTATTAATATACACAATTAAGAAGTAGAAAAATCAGGTCTGTGAAAAAGTACAAGTCTATTTCATAAGTCTCCCCTCTTATATACGTATTTTCCTAAACTTATGGTAAACTTTTACTCTGGAAATGCATTTCAAACACTTGCAAAGGAATCTCAAATAGAATCTCTATTATGTCCAACAGAACATGGGTTAAACAGCCTCATGGACACAGAAATACCTGATCTTTCTCAACCTCCTTCAGCACTGGGGACTAGGAACACAGTGAGATAACCCTGTACTGTCTGTGTTCCATGATCAAATTTTCAGAAGTCTTTCCAAGCAGCAAGTCCCGTTTAAACCACATGGACAGAACCCCAGACTTTGGTACAAACATTGAACTGACACAATAAGCATATACTTATTTAGAAACAAAGCTTAACAGTCTTCTCCACTATTATTTCCTTTTAGACCTTTCAAAGACTGGAGTTTTCAAAGTAACATTTTTCTGCAACTTCTTCAAAGAAGAAACAGGAAATGTCCAGTAAGATAAAGATTTATTGCTTTGCTTTTACTTTCCTTCTTGCATCCTTATGCTTCTTCCGGCATAAATATTTAAACATAATATTATGACAAGTTTCTAGATTCATTTGTTTGTTTCAAACACTATTTTTACATGCAGTAAAGTAACTGGTCCTACAGAGATTCAGTAATTTACCTGACTGGGCACCATCACATGATGTTACACACACTTCTACATGCAGAATTGTTAGTTCTCTGATAATTATAGAGTTTCAAGCCTTTCTAAAGGTCCCAAATTGATTTTTAATGCAAATTAAGCAAAAAAGCAGCCACCTCCCCTCCTTACCCTGAGCTTTCAGCACAGTTACCAAGTAACAGATGTTAAAATACTCACCTCAAGCAATAACCTACGTCTGTCCTCCCAATCATCTTTTTCTTCACTGAGGTCTGCTGATCTACAAAATAACTTAGGGCCCTCTGCACAAAACAAAGAACAAATACAGTTAAATATACGCTACTGTTTGTAAATCTCATGAGCAACACAGCAATAAAGTCAGAAGGCTTATTCTCCACATTCCTCTACTGGCCTTGTGTGCTAAGAAAAAGGAAAGGCAGCAGCAGCTTTCGTTAATATGCTGACAGACAGACTGCAGTGGTTGAGGTTGTAGAGAGGTGGGTGCTGGGCTCTTCTCCCAGGTGATGGGGGATAGAACAAGGGGAAACGGCCCCAAGCTGTGCCAAGGGAGGTTCAGGTTAGAGATCGGGAGGAAGTTCTTTCCTGAGAGGGTCGTCAGAAGCTGGCACAGGCTGCCCAGGGAGGTGGTGGAGTCACCATCCCTGGATGTGTTTAAAGAGCGGGTAGATGAGGTACTTAGGGATATGGTTTAGGGGGTAGACAGGAGCAGTTGGACGTGATGATCTCAGAGGGCTTTTCCAACCGAGCGATTCTGTGAAACAACAGCTGTTTCCTTAAAAGCTCAGCACCATTATCTCATATCTCCCATGAAAATTTATGGCTAAGGATCTAGGGCTCAATTTTAACGGGCACTGCAAGTTAGACAGGTGGGAAGACGACAGTACCATAGCTGTATTAACATAGTAACTTTTACATGTAAGGATTGTTATCTAACATGTCTCAGGAAACATCATTTAAAGTTGTCCTGAGAATTTCTTGTATAAAATATCAAAAGCAATTGCTTTGCTGGCCTGTGGGTTGGCTTTTCTTGCTGTGTTTGTTGTTGCTGTTGCTGTGTTTGTTTGGTTTTAACTATTACATTCACTATATTCACAAGAAAAAAACCCCACATTGTTTAGGATCATGAACCACGTGGGCGTATGTGGCTGATAAGAATAGTAAATATTCCTAACGGTAACACTAGAAACAAGAAAAACTTAAAGATCAAGTATATGCCTTTTATTTTTTTTGTAAGCCCTGAAAAGACCAGCCACATGTTAGGCAATTATTTGAAAATAGCAAAGCAAGATAGCTGTTCAGCATTTGTTTTACCAGGACTCTCATGGGATGTGCTACAACAATTCATACCTCAAGTAATGATGGAAATTTGCTATTTCTTTTTCTTAAACCTCTCAGCTGTGTTTTAATGCAAAACATTAATAACTAGGCAGTATTTTTTTCCTCACTGAATTTCAGGAAGAGTTAAAAAACCAGGATGAATAAGTTCTGTTATACCTCTTAGTCGTTCATCATCTCTGGAGAAGAAGAAAAATCTGGCACTTTCTGGCTGTGGTAAAGAGAAAAACCTAGACAAACAGAAAGGAATATGAGCATCATAAAACTTACTGTCATATTCCATTAATACAATTTAAGCTGTAATGTTTCAGAGAAATAGTATGCACTGAAGAACATTACTCCATAGTAACCAAATACAGCCTTCCATTTAAAACCATTTCTTAAGAAAATTTAGTATCTGTTTGACTTTTGGCCAAACTCACCACTCAGTTAACTTCTCATGCACTGAGCTACAAATGCAGCTTTTATATTCGACTTTCAGTGAAGTGTGGTATTGGGATTTTTAACCATTATATTCTGTGCAGCAAGGAATGGTTTCCTAAGGCGACTTCCGTTGTTCAGAGATGTAGAATGAAGACGTTAGTTTCCCATGACCCACATCCTGCTGTTAATATAGCATCAAGCTACTACAACTAAGCAGAGAACAAACACAAATGTAACTTGCATTTCTTTGTCCCTTTCACTTTCTGATGCCTCTGGTTCATCATCACCCTCAGAACTGCTGTCTTGGAAACGTGGATCTTCTTGCCATGAGACTTTTACAGGTTTTATTGTTTCAAGTACGTAAGGCACTGCAATAATATCACAATTTTAAAAATTAATCAGATTATTCCCCCAATTGCCAGTACAAAATTCTACTTCAGAGTGAGATACTTAAATTGGAAAAGACAGATTTAACAGGGACAGACACCTCCCCTCCCAGGTTTTCTATCACCCTCTAGGCAGGTATGAATTTAGTTTGCTTTCACCTATGTCACAAATTCACTCTCAAAATGCACAACGAGTATCATCACAGCCTGGGGAGAAAGTGCAGGAGCCCTTCTGAAGCCTGTTGTTACAGTCCAGGGTTCTATCAAGTCACTGCAACCTAGCAGTCGTTATCAGCTGACTTGGGAGTAATCGCTCCTATTCAAATTTTTAGCTTGCAGAAGTTGGAACAAAAACTCTCTTTCACTGTGAGCTACCTTAATAAGTTCCTTTACAAAGAGACTTGCAAGGCCTTAGCTTATTCCTTCTGCGTTGAAACGATGCTATTTTCACGTATTTATTCCTGCCTATAGCACACACAGCCAGTTGCCAGAAACCCAGTTTACACTCGGTACCACACAGTAAACACATACCCGAGCTCTTACCGCTCCAACTTGCCAAAAGAACTGAGGTTGCAAAACTATGGTAACTCTTTCCTTTTAGTGTATAAGCACAGTACTTGTCTGAATGATCAGAACAGAGAGGACAGCTCCTGTACTGCCTCTCTCACAACATAAAACGGTTTCCAAACCCAACAGTACCTAGACTATGACACACAAATGGTTATTTTATCCAAGAGAAAGATCAGAAAGTTCTATTTCGGAAAAAGTGAGCATTTGCAAGTTGAAATTGTTCACAAAACATCCATTTGCTCAAAAAACCCCACAACCAACCAAAACAACAACAAAAAACCCCCATCCCCTTCAAAAGGCCTGAGATGCAAGCGTGAATTCACTGTTATTAAGCAACAACAATCTCAGCAGGTAGAAGAGATTATGATAATGACTGTGCATTTAATTACTGACTTTTGCCTCTGAAAAGCCCCTGGATTCTGAGTTTCTCTACACTATATTACTCTACAGTGCCTGACAGAAGCTACTCATTAGCAATTGTACCATTACATATGTTCTAATGTTACCTTCTTTTACAGCTGACTCCTCCACGTCTGGAAAGAAGGAAAATGTGAAACCACCAGACTCTTGAGCGCCGCTACTCTCAACTTTAGGTCCCAAATGGTCAGGTGGGGTAGAGTCCTCCGCATCATCTTTGTCCCAGGGTATTTCTTCCTTTTTCTTCGATTCACTCTTTGAAGATCCAAACATCTCTTTTAAATCAGCAGCAATGTCATAATACGTTTCTTCAGACACTTCAGGCAGTTTCTCACGCTCTTCCCTCTTCTTCTTCCTTTGAGCTTTACTGAAATGAGGTTGTTAAAGGATAGCAACACAGCACACATTTTTAAAAGAAAGGTTCCCCAAGAGGCAACCTTGCTACTAATAACTTACCTAAGCACATTAATGAGGACTTTTAAGGTTTGGGTGGGGGTTTTTCTGTTGGTTGGGGTTTTTTTGTTTGTTTTTAACCTTCTCTCTTGGCAATTCCAGGTTCCAGCAATAGGAAATATCCTATTGCCAGAAACAGGTTTTTATAGGGCAGCATGACTATCCTTTTGATTTAGACTTCTGACCCATTTCTCTTCACCTCCTGCAATTTACCCACTCTTAATGCAGCAGGGAAGCATCTGAGGTTTGAGTCTAAAGGCAGGAATGAGTCCACTTTATAATTAACCACATCCCAATTTCTCACCGAATGTGTGATAGCGTATAAATTAAGACATTTAGGACAGATTTCTGGCAAAAGAAACGTTTAGAGCTAATATTTTTTCTTCTTCGCAGATTTTCAAATCTTAAAGTCTGTGACTTGAAGCTAAACGATAGCCTGAAGGTGAGACAGCAAGACAGAAAATGACATGCAGAGGGCAGATGGACTAGAAAGAAAATATGACATCGCATGGCATTTTTAGTGGTCACAATTCTTATTATATCTTGATTTTAGCAATAACAGAGAGAAATAAAGAAAAAACAGAGCAGTCTGCATAGTTTCACTCAGTCTTCTGCTATAGCCATCTTTCCCTGGGAAGAAACATCACAATTATAGCTACCATGCTGTAATATTACCTCTCTTTTTCTGTAGCGTTTGGTTTCCTTTCAAAAATCACATGGTCCTGTCTTGTGGGATCATAGCGCAGGGCATTAATATCTCTATGAAAACAGAAAAGAAAAACCATGAGACATTCTAAATGCTCAGATGAAAGCTACCCTAAACCTTTACAGTCAAATTCAAATTCACATTGACTTCTTCGCCAAAAAAGCCCCAAATCAATCCAAAAACATAACTGGCATTTTGAAAGTACCTGCTAGTCAGTGTCCAGGTCAGGCAAAACTACAAACCTAAGTGGCTTTAATGAAATTGTAACATTTCCTATAAAACACAGACCTCAAGTTGTGCGTATTATGGAGTAAGTTTATGTGTGCACGTGTCTACCTTTTGAGGACTTGTATCAACATAGCTATCCCTATCAATGTATCTAGCTATATCTATTTATTCTAGTACCAGACACTGCACAAACAAACACCAAAACCCAAGAAAAACTAACAAAAACCAATTCTACCCACCTTTCAAAATGTAACCATTCTGGGAACACGCAGCTAAAGCAGTCTGAAGGTTTAAACTGACCCCAACACCAGTGTAGCAAAGCCCACGCTGCCTCTGGCAATGCAAGAAGAAAACTTGCTTCCCCTCCTCTCCCTAAAATAATGCTTACAGCATAAAGTGACTGCTTTTAAATGGTTACATACCATACCATTAACTGGGCAGCAGAGAACACGGTCATTCACAAAACTTTCCTAAAATTATCTCTGAGACAGCACAGACTATTTCCCTCTAAGCTTAGTCTTTAGAAAATACATCAAAATTTGTACAGAAGTCATCAGATTAGATATGATTGTGCAGCAGTCACAATGCACACTATTGCATTACCCTTAACCCTACCAACCTCCAGCAATTCAGCTCACAGACCAATTTCTGATGAAGTGCGTAGGTTAAACATCACAGTACCTCCAACAGCGCATTTCCAAACCTACCTCATCACCCCTCTAATGAAGGCCAGAGCATGCCCAGCAGCAGCACGTAACAAATTCCTAAACTAATGAAGACATTTCTCAAAAGTAGAAACACAGGTAAACGAAAAAAAAAAATAAGTTCTCCACCGAAAAAGAAGTTTGATGCTAACCACCTGCAGGCCAGAGAAAATAACCTCATTAACCACTACTGAAATTAAGAGTCTAACTCACTGACGTGCTGCTCAGCTCACATGTGCTTTGTGTACCCAACTTAAAGTTTGTCTCCAGAGGACAGAGATATCTCTTATAGACAAGGACTTAATAAAATATTAATTCTCATAACCAACAACCATTCATAATCTACTACAAGATACTCAGGCAGGCATCGGATAATTTTTCTTCCCTAAAACAATGACAATTACCAGTTGTATGATCTATTGGAACACTCAGGTTGGGAAACTGCATTAAAGGCTGACTTCAAATGCACACAACAGAGAAGGAAACTTTTTGCAGTCAGCTAGGCAGAAATTTTAGTTGTGAAACACTGGCAAAAATAAAGCCTTCCTAAAATTCCTTCTTTTCTGACAATGGATGATTCATACTTGAATTTCCTAGCACTTGTGGCCGTTTTAGTTAGCTTTGGGTGTGTCAGGTTGATATTCAAGAGGCTTCCCAGTATTTCCAGATTTTTCTTTTTCTCCGCAGCAAGCTCTTCTTCCTCATCTGCCTTCAAGACGTTTGTCTCTGCTAAGAGAAAAATAAATACATGTAGCCTGCAGGAGATCTCATTAATGCTTATAAATATCTAAATGGCAGGGGTCAGAAGTATTGGACCAGACTCTTCTTGGTTGTGCCCAGCAACAGGACAAAGGGCAATGGTCACAAACTGGAACAAGAGGTTCAATTTAAACGTAAGGAAAACCGTCCTTATGTTGAACCTCAAACCCTGCCTGGATGTATTCCTGTGTGATCTTCTCTGGGTGATCCTGCTCTAGCATGGGGGTTGCACTGGATGATCTCCAGAGGTCCCTTCCAACCCCCACCATTCTGTGACATTATTTTTTTCCTCACTGTGGTCTGAGCAAGCCTGTGATACTTGATAAATAGCATTACTATAGTACTGTAAGTGCTCACACGTATTAACATGTCACTTTATTTTAAACTTGGAGGCTTTCTCCCTTGCACTGTAGCAAATCTTTGATGACAAATGTCATGTGAAAGTCACATCAGGTATTTAACCTGTTGCCTACTTGTATCATGTAACAGTACAACTACTCTGCCACTAACAGATGCTGTATAGAAGATCACATTAAAGCAACAAAGGGAGTAGCAGAACTAGGCAAAAATTTAAGTTTCAGAAAAAATTCTGAATCTTGAAAACTAAGTTAATTATATTTATTGGTAGAGGGGGAAGAAATCTTCAAAAGTTTTTGGCTTTTGTAGTTGTTCTGGCTTCTGCCTTTTAAAAAAAAAAAAAAAACCAACAGTCTTTCTAAGGCTGCCAAATCAGCCGTGGACTGCAAGACGACTACAAACCAAATAGTTTAAATTAATTAATGTAATAGTGAAAGTTTGTTGTAATAAGTTACCACTTATGTGAAAAACAGGGAGAGACATCTTCTGATAATATGGTGTATTAAAAAATATTTAAATGTCTACTTATCAACCAAGAAAGTCTCATTCGACTATGACAGATCCATCTGCAACACGGACATTTTAGAAAACACAACTACCAATATACATTATATACAGCCACAGCAGAGTTAGGTGATTTTCTTTAAGGAGTCAGAGGAGCAAAAATACTCCAGAAGTTGCTTCAAGCATCCAAAATTAAGGCTCCATGATACAGCTCTGTTACTCTCATTAACTGGGTTACCTTCTTCTTCACTGTCACTTTCAAGGAATCGAGCATCCATGCGAAATCTTTCATCTGTGCCAAATCTTGACTGCAATTTCAAGAGCTAAACAAAATGAAACAGATCCTGTTAAGGGCTGGAGGAGAAAATCAGCAGTATTCAGTAACTGGTTTTTTTCCACTATCGTTATGGCAACATTGTAATAACCTTTAGCTCTTGATGCCTTTTCCAGAAACTTCTTTGTATTCAAAGATGACAACGTCAGAGAAACTCCTCCCACTCCCCATCACACATTGCTTCCACCATGGCTACTACTGCCTCTACTTACACTAATTCTACTGTAAGCTTGTCAAAAACATACTCAGCAAGTACGTAAGCCTATATGTTACACTCTTCCAAAGTGGCATTACGGAGACTTAGAAGCAAATTAAATGACATTAATGGGTTCACTCACTTTTTCACCAGCTTTGCCTTCAAACTGGGGCTTAATTTTAAACCTCTCATCATCTGTATCATCTTGCTCATCTTCACTGCTTTCAAACAGTCTGCCTGAAGTTTTAGGGGCAGATTGATCCTTTGTTAAACAAAAAGAAAATACAGAAAAGCAGCTGTTTACATAAGCACGAGAAAATACATCAGTATCAGCTTTGTTCATGTGCTTTCCAGTTTATCTGAAAAAGTGGATTTCTAGAACAACCAGCTTGCTTGTTGATCCATGCCCTTCAAATCTTGTATTGTATACACACCTTGCACAATTCTGTTGTACAGTTACAACTATTACATTTTAGCATAGGCAAAATATCCATGTAAAGGTAACTCAGGTTGTATAACATGAGAGTTAGGTATAAAAATCCAACTTTGATTATGTCAAGAGAGATCAATTTAAAAGTCTTAACATCTAATTATACCTTTTCTGAACAAGCCTCATTTATGGTATAAGCTCTAGGACATAGTTTAAGTCAGTTGATAAATAATAATTACAAAAGGTAAGCATGCTGTGGCTTTGAAACAATTTCCATAGTATTAGAGGTTCTTTTAAAGGAAAAAAAAAATGCAGGGCAGGGATTCCAAATGCAGGGTAAGATATAAATATAAAGAAGTGCCAAGTGTGAGGAAAAGTGAGACAAAAAGTTTTTAACTAAATAACGAGAATCATCCTAATCTTACAACATTTATGAAGAAAAAAAACCACAACAAAAGCAAAAGCAATGGTTTAAAGCTTTAGCAGAGATGCAACTAAAAATGTGATGATATAACAAGTTCTATTCCAGAATAAAGTACTTAATAGTGCTGCAAGGATAGCAGTAAAATCCTGAGGAGTCTGCTAAATAAAGTCTTGATTGGGTAAGGTATAAAGAAGAAGTCCCACACAACTTCTGTGGGCCCTAACATCCCTTTAAAAAACAAGACACTGCATTAATACAGATTCTTTGTCCACAGTGTTGAGAAGAGCAAGGAGTCCTGTACTGCTCAGGCCAAATCTCTTCCCCTCTTGACTAAAAGCAGCAACTTTCCAGAACTAGTCACACGTAAGCCCTATAACTTAAACATTCTTTTTCTTTCAATCAAAGTCAGGATATCTTTGATGCAAATCTCAATCTCCTTACAAATTCTCCAAGTTGTCCAGCTATATCAGATTCATGGTTAAGCTCTTTGAAGCCTGTTTCATGTCAGAAAAAAAAAGAATCATTCATATTAATTCAAAATTTATCTTTTTTCTGTCACTTCACTATGAAAAACAGTCTTTAGAATCAAAGGCACAGTCACATTGATATGTAATTACCTGACAGAAGACTGGACTTTTTCCCAGTAACAATTCTTTGTGCGTATCTCCCAAACTTGCATCTTTCTTCAACATCTCATCTACTTCAGCTTCACTTTCCACATCTGAATTGAAGATAATGTGCTTATGCTTTCCTGCTTGCTGGCTATCCTATGTAAGAGTGAAACTGTCAAGTCAAGCATATCAAGTACTTGCTACAGTCATACAGAAGTATTTAAAAGACACTTCCATGACATAAAAGGAGGAATCTACTGTTCCTCATGCAACCCCAGAGATGTTTCAGGAATTGGGCATGCGTTATTTTGTATACACTCAAAAGAAAACTAGCAATGGAATCAGGAGTCCCAGAATAATATCTTAAAATATCTTAAACCACACCTAGTAACTTCCCTTTTTCTTTGACTGCACAATACTCAGGTAGAAGTTGTGAGTGTAATTACCAGATTTGAAAGAGCTCCTTGAATGAGTTTCTTCTGCAGTTCTCTCTCTTTCTGTCTCTCTTCTAGAGCTGCCAGCCTTCTCTGGTTATCCTGCAACTGTTTCTTTTCTGTATGAGGATCCTTTGAAGCAGTAGCACGAGGACAAAGCTCCTTATTTTCCAGAAGGCTTGTCTTACCATTCTCACATTTATTAGCTTCACATTCTGGATTTTTATTACTTGCATCCCTCTTCAATTTTTTTGAAAGCAGCTTTGGGCTTTTCAGTTGGCGTTTAAGATGTTTCTGTGACACTGCAGCATTACTATCCATGTCACTGCTCTCATCTGCACTCTGATAAGTATGAGGAACAGCATCTCCCTGCTCTGAAGTTTGGTCCTCTTGTAATGAGCTCCCCTCTTTGCTCTTTTCTTGTAAACGTGGCTGGGAAAGAGGCTGATCTCTCTCACCTGCTAAGGAGGCTGCACCTGACAATTCCCTATCCTGTTCACAAAGCATATTTTGTCTCTTTGTACTGCTGACTTCAAGTGAAAATAGTGGACGCTTCTCAGACTGCCTTTTAGAGGACTCCTCTCCACAGTAAGAAACACAAGCTTCAAGACCTAAACATTCAGGAGACCTCTTCTTTAAACCCCCACTGTCCTTAGATAAATCTTTTTCACAAAGGGACCTCATTCCTCTGAAGGGCTGATATTTCAAATGTGAATTATTTTGTTCCTTGGAGCTTTCATCAGCATTCTCCTCCCCTGCTAAAATCTCAGCAACTACATCCTCAGGACAGATGCTTTTTTTTTTACCTGCAGGGTAAAATTTAGGAAGTTTGGTTTTATTTACAGCATTATCCTTAGAATTTTCTTCAACACTAAGCTGGCCAGAACTCTGTGTACTGTCCGAGTCCTCTCCTGGTGTCCCTGTTTCAGCAGCTAACGCTTTTAAGTCATCTAATGTAAGGTCTAAGCGATAACAGTTTTGCATCATGGATTCATAATCAGAACTGATTTCAGATTCCCCTGTCCCAGGCTCTGAAGAAGAGCTTTCACTATCACTGGTATTTGTTGTACTCTTGACTGCTGTACTCCGCAAGGCAGCAATTGTCAATTTTTTCATTTTCTCTTTTCTTTCAACATAGTCTTCTTTTAAAGGAAGAGTTTCAAGTGAGGAGTCATTTACCAAATCACATTTTTTGTTAGTTAACATTTCTTTATTTTCCACCTTCACCTGTTTAGAAACTTCTAAAACTGCAGTTTGCCTGCTACTTCGATCAGGAGTTTTACTTTCAGCAATGATTTCATCTGTATCTGCTGAATCATAGCCATTATCACATTCCACAGTCTCTCTCTCTCCATAACCTCCTTTGATAGCTTTCTTCATGGCATCTGGATTGCTTGAGGAACAGTGACTATTGCATTTTAACTCAAAATTATCTCCAACGATTTCCAAGTCACTTTCAGTCTCAACATTTTCAGCTTTCAGTATTTCTCTCTCTTTCTTTACCATTGCTCTGATTTCTTCCTCAGAGTCAATGTCACTATCAGAAACACTCAGATTATTATGAGCTGCAACTGATAATAAATCTCTCCCTGATACAGTACTGTTAAGACCGCTTGACAGAGGCAATTTAGACTTCTCACTGGATTTGGATTTTGATTTTTGTGCTAGCTGTGATGAGCTTGTGTTTTTTGAATGTGACTGGCCCCCAGAAGAGAGAACTACTGCTCCATCCAGAGCCTCCCTGCCTGCTTGCCTCAGTTTTTTAGGTGGCTTCTTAGTTATAGGGAACTCTCCTTGCCGCTTCTTGGTTATGAGGTCCTCTCTCTCTTCCAAGTGCCAAGTAAGCTCAGATACAGGAATGACACGTGTCAGGTCTGGTTCCAGCTTCTTAAGGTTATGGCAGTATTTTGAAGGGTCATATTTCACAACGTTAGTCTGAATTAAGGAATTAAAACATGATCTTTTCAGCAAGCAGGCTTCCAGTCTGAACAGGCTAAATTCTGTGTGAAGGGACAACAAAGAGTCCTTTTTAATGTTATGACCATAAGGCTGTAAGCAACTGACTTGCAGTGTAAACAATTTATTCCAATCACACAAACCTACTGTAAGATTTACTGAGGGGATTCCGTAAAATCAAGTATGACAGAGTAGTCAGTATTAAGACCATTGAAGCAAATGTTTCCCCATATGATAAAAGAAAGGGAATCGTGCCTGTGCCCAACCAACAGAAAAAGGATATTTTATTTTTCTGTTGACTCCTCAGGTGCAGGACAGGCAAGACTCTGCCAAATTTACCAACAACCCATTTCTAAAAGAAAATAAGCAACAGTCAGTCTTACAAAAGGAATGGAAGTAACCATGGAATAGAACAAGACGTATTATTTTTTGATAACAGAAAGACTAATAAAGAACCATCTGTGGCCAATTCTTGTTTTGTTTACTCTCTTAAGTGAGATATGGTCACAACTTAGCCAGCTTCCTTCTCAAAGAAGAAAGAACAAACCAAAATGAACCAACCAAACCAAATTTCTACAGCCTACAGACAGAGTGACAATAAAGAACTGAATTTCTTTACTTTGCAAGTACTATCTTTAATAGAAGACTTCTAGTTTATGAATTAACAGCCGTAACAAACCAGACAGGATCACTACCCTTTTGCCCTTTTTCCCTTTCCCACTAAAAATTTAAAAATTTCTTCTCACTCTCCAAGAACATTCTGTGCTTAGCACGTGATTTTGAAAACTCTGTAGTAACTATGATTTTTTTATTGCCCAAATTTGCACATTTGATTATTTCATTTTAAATTTTACTTGCGTAAGCATGTGAAGACCCTCATGCTCCACGTGCTGAAGCACAGAGATTAGTTCCTGACAACCCAGCCATCAAAAGTGCATATGCTATATAAAAATAAGACACACATCCTCTTTACATGCTTTTAAGGGTGACACAAAGATATTCCCAACCTAAGCAGGTAACAAGGCATTTACTAATTTAGCACAGCAAAGAAGCCAGGAAAATCAAGATTGCTTCCAGTCATTACAAAGACCAACAGGAGCACTCCACATGTCTACACAAGGTATTTCTTTAAAGCACTTTTCACAAATAGGCCTGTCACACTTCAGTTTCTTTGCATAAATTTAGATGTAATAAGCTTATGCCCAATTCTGGTTTTGGGTGGGTTTTCTGCGTTTTTTAATTATTTGTTTGTCTTAATTCTCTATACATCTACCCTGCCGTACCTTATGGTCTGGCACCTCTGTACCTGGTACTGCTTTCATGTGAAAGTTCACAACTCCAGCCTTCTTCAGTGACTCTATCAGACAGCCTTTGTCATTTCTCTGTGGTTTTTCTTTCTGCAGCTTTGCTTCCTCTCTCTCTGTGGCAAGCCTGTACCAAAAAACATATCACCTATGGAAAACACTCTGCCTGTGCACTAAATTGTAGCTGGCAGTGACCCTCTTCTCCAGAACAGTAACCATTCACTACTTAAGGAACTAATGTATTTACTATCTTTAAGGGAATAATGATGCAAAACTTGTTGCAATATCTAATATGCATCAACAGTCCACGAATGACAATAAAAACTAATAAGAGCACAGCAGATGAAAGCGCAGCAATAACATTATCAGATAAACAGAAAAAGTGGAATATTAGAAAGAACATACATTTTTAAAACAGATTTTTACCTGTGCAAAAAGCTTGCTTTAGCCAACTCAATCTGCAGTGTCCCTCCTTTCCATTTTGATTTATTTAAAATTGACATGCCTGTAAAACAAAAACAGGAAGTTAGTGTTCTCTACATTAAAAAAACACGTTAGACATACTTATGCCTCCTTCTATGATAGTTTCAAGTGTCTTTAGCATGATCTTATATTCTATTACTCACCTGATTTAAGTTTGCATAAATATGGCCTAACACCCAAATCTTCAACAAGAACGTCTATGTACAAAATTAAAGTTCTGACTTCCAAAGTCACTTGAGTCTAGCTGGTTCAGTTCAAATACAAACCCGAAAATTCAGACACATGCACTCTGAAGTTTCTAAACTACTATCAGACAAGCTCTTCTCTACCAAACTTCTTCTGCATTTCAGCGTTCCACAGATAAAAAGGCATATTACTAATTCCTCTCTGCAGGTACAGGTATCTTCACCTGCCATTTTGCTGTTCCATATTACACAGGTGGTTTTATGACCCTGCAAGTAGTTTTGTAACCCAGCTGCTTTGGGATTTGTAAAACCACTTAAACAGAAGTATGATGCTTTACATCAACTCTCTTTCTGGGTTTCTTCTCAGGTCAAGTGACTTCTAATGCTTTATGAATGTCTTTGCATACTGATGAAAGTCTTTGAAACACATTTCCTACACCTTTTCATAAAAGGCTTAGAACAAACTCATAAGTTACCTATTTCAGTCACAAGGAATCTTTTTCACCTGCTTACATCTACTTAATATAAAACTCCAATAAAGCAACTTCCAGAAAATTGCAGCTTGAAGAAAACAGAATGAAACAGGGACTACCTTAACAACATCCTGATTTGACAACACTAGATGTATTATCAGTAACGCAACTTGGCTCAAAACCATACAATACCTGATTAATAAAATGTACTTACATTTTCTAAGGTCGGCATCAGAAATGCTGACACTGATGTACGCAAAAGTCTTCACAGGGTTCCCTGATCAAAAACATTCAGTTAATTTCCATATAATTTCAGTGTTTAAACAGAAAACTCAGCTATGATAATGAAGTGTCTCTGAAACAAGAATTCCATTTCACACTGCACACTGAAAACCAAGTCTCTTTTAAAGGATGATGCAAAACTGTTACCCTGCTCATCTCTTCTGGTAATAATCTCTACTTCCAAAACTCGCCCAAACTTGCCGAATCTCTCTTCCAGCTCAGCCTTAGAAACCGTGTGGCCCAGCCCTCCGACATACAGGCGTTTTGAGACTTGTTTCTTTTCCATGGCGAAGAGTCACGCTGCCATATCCATAACGCAGATTCTACTCCTCTGTAAGACAACAGCAACGCACGCTACGGGGATAAACGCAACCACACCACCAATTTCTGGGACAAACCCTTCCCTCAGAAATCCTTCACACAAAGCCGCTACAGGAGACACTCCTTCGCTCTGCTCTCAGCAACGCGCTCTGCGCCAGTCCTCTACCACCCGTAGCCCCAGCT